AAATATTTGGAGTTTTTCAAAAATTTTTGGATCTGCACCTTCCACTTTAAAAATCGGTAACTCTGCCATTTTTTAAGATTTTGAATTCGTTTTTTTGGCGTTTGAAAGAGAAAGCTTAGATCCTTTTTCTGGTGTTTTCAAATTTTGAAAAAAAAGATAACATATCTCAAAATTTTAAGGTTACTTTCGTAATAATTCAAATACTCATAACTCAATTTTTTCAAATGAAATACCCCAATTTTTATTTTACAGAATAGAAGAGAATTTAATTGTGCATTGACCTGTATTAACATTCCCTATACCTAAATTTAATAATTTTCAAGTTATGGATTTTTTTTAAGACTACAGAAAATTTATAACTAGCCACACCCGTTTTCACATAGTTTGCTATGGAAATCAAAAATGTCAAAATTTTCTCTAAACAAACGTCAACAGTAAATTACTATTTGAGAAATAGAGCCAAAATATGAAGAATCAAGGTTATGCAAACTTAATTATTAGTGATAGGTTCTGCCATGCGATCATTATTTAAAGTTAAAAAGTAAGAAAAAATTATTTTTGTTTAATGAACGACATCATAATTTTGTTACACTCTCCATAAATATAAAATAAATTAATTAAATCTAAGTTTGAGTAGCTTGACTCTTCATATTTTGGCACTATTTGTCAAATAATAAGTCACTATCGACGTTTATTGAGAAACAATTTTGACATTTTTTATTTCCATAGCAAACTAACGAAAACGTAATAGATTTTCGACAGTCTTAACAAAAAGTCACCATAACTTAAAAATTATTAAATTTTGGTATAGGGAATGTTAATACAGATCGATGCAGAATTAAATTCTCTTCCATTTAGTAAAATAAAAATTGGGGTATTTTATTTGGAAAATTTGATTTATGGGTATTTGGATTATTACAAAAGTAACCTTAAAATTTTAGGGTTTATTATTTTTTTTTTCAAAATTTGAAAACAGCAGAAGAAAGATCTAAACTTTCTATTTCTAACGCCAAAAAAACGAATTCAAAATCTTAAAAAATGGCAGAGTTACCGATTTTTAAAGTGGAAGGTGCAGATCCAAAAATTTTTGAAAAACTCCAAATATTTCAAAAACGGCTAAACTTAGGTCTAGGGAAAGTTGATGAAAACTCTCTTGAAATAACCCGATTAATTCAAAAACGCACTAAAAAATTTAGCTTTCCACTTAAAATAAGAAAGTTGAGACCGATTTCCGGTATAACCGGAAGTGCCGCCATCTTGAAAACATTTTCATTTAGAAGGACTTAATGCATTATGGCTATGTACCAATTTTCAAACAAATATGATTATTCAAAATATGCACAAAATGTTAAGAAATATGCTCGAATATATGCCAAATATGACTCGATATGCAAAACTTTTAACAATAAAAAATCAAAGTTGGAATAAATTTTTATCCTCGAGTACACTAAAGTTTGTATTTTCATCATCTTGAACCGAACACGATGAACGAAAGAGAATAAATAAAGTGGATTTGCCTCAGACAAGCCGTTTTAATAACCTAGTAATTAAGCCTTTCTAAGAAATCTGTACTTTTCAGATCACATCACTTTAAACAATTTTACTAAAATTCATTTGTAGGCAACTACGTATTATAGAAGGATTTATTCGTTTTATACCAGGTGAATAAAAAAGTATGGAAGCTGTGAGCGCCTATTTTTAAATTAAATGTTGGGAATTATTTGTCAGCACTGCTAATCCGACAGAACGATATAAAAAAAAATACAGTTTTTGTAAATAAGTCAGGCTTGTAATAAAATTTATGGAATTAAACAAGTTTTTTTGATTTTATCCCGGCCAAACATTTTTTGCTTAAACTATTAAATGTTTTATCAAGAATAAAATTTTTCGAATTTCTTTTGTTTCTGCAAAAAGTGTATTTTTTTTAAATGACAACCCACTAAAAAAAAATTGTATAATTGTTTTGTATACTCTCCCAAAAACAACTGTGTTAGAGACTATCTACTTTATTAATTTAAAAACATTACATAAATTTTACAATTTTTAAAAGAAATCGTATAATTCAAAGCAAAACAAAATGTCGTTTTGAAAATACGATCAGATTTTTTATATTATTTTATTTTCCTACGACCATATACGAAATTACATATGCGCGAAAATTGGCAACATCGTACAAGGTCGAAAATCTGTGCGATTTGTTTTCGCACTGTGTGTTAGAAATCTAACGCACAATTCACATTCGAATGTTTTATATTTTTTCATTTAACGTATTTTTTTTGTATCCATTATAAAAAATAAATCGTGATGGAAAAAAATATGTTCGTAAGAAAAAAATTATTTATGATCGTAGGAAAAATAGTGTACAAAACTTGCAGGAAAGTGTCTAACGCACTCAACTTTTTCGAAGCATTTTAATTCTTAAATATTTTTTTTTCATACATCTTTGCATTGATTATAGATACCGGATGATTGTAAATGATTGTGATTTTTTTCTCAAGTTGGTGTCAAATTTAAAATTTTAGCTTGGCAACCTTGACTTTTAAATTCAAACGTCAAACTTTTATAGGCAAATGTCAACTCAAACATTCTGATGTACTTAACAAATTAGAAGGATACCAATAAATAATTCAGTGTTGCCAATAATTTTTTTTTGTTACAAACTTTAATAGTCACCCAGTATTTTGGTGTTGGGCAGGTCAGGTCAGGACAAGTTAGGGTGGTTTTTAAAAAATATGCCTTCTTTTCATTGGAAATTCTTGTTTGCTGTAGTATTTGTATTTTCTAATAACAAAAAATTGTTATCGTTTTGAATTTTGTTTCATAACTGAAGTGCCTTCACATTTAAAAAAGTCGTATTAATTTATGTCTTAAAAACAAAGCTGTTTTATCTGCCTCGCATATACCTACTCGTTTACAGGATGGACAAAATTGAAATAGTTTGAAAATTTTATTTTATACAGGTGTCCGGAATTCGGAATTAAAGTCGGTGGACGGTTTACGGAAATAACGTTTTTTTTTCGAAAACGGTCGTACAAAAATTATACAACAGAAATTTTTTTAAGAAAACTAGCCAATAAAACCGAATCTGTCAAAAAAAATTCAAAAAACTTCTTTCAAAGAAAATTTTAGGCCTTGAATAGACTGACTCCAGTGCTTCGGTCCAGTTAATTGGGGTACAAAATTTTTGATATTCAGCGTGAAAAAATTATTTTAGATGCGAGCTTTTGTAAATTTATGTCTACTCATTACTGAGATAATAAAAAAAAATAATAAATAAAAAATAATAAACAAAATAATAGAAACTTTTTTTCCGAACACCTAACTTTGGTAATTATGAAAATAACACTCTCTATAATTAAGATCATTAGGTATCATTATTTTGACTTTGCCTAGAGCAAAAAGTATGGATTTGCCTTCAGAAAATAATAATTAATAAAAAATAAAATGCTATAAAAAATTTGATCGTGTTATGAGATATTTTTATGTTTAAATTAGGCGAATTTTTTGTGGCAATATGATTTTTTTGCGACAAGAATAAAACGTGAATAATCCTAAGATCATAAGTTTTATAGTTTAAAACTTGTGTTGTTTTTGACATTTTTTCCAACACTATTTTGGGATCAGAAATTTTACTAAATTCAAAGAAATTTTTCAAAATAATGTTAAAATTGACAAAATTTCAGGATAAACGTACTTTATGTACTTCTAAATACGATGTGATTGACGACGTACTTTATACTGGGTGCGCCAGAACTCGTGCCCCAGAGAAAATTTTGAAGTTAGGTAAGATACCAGGAGCATGAAAAAAATGTTTAAAAAATTCTGTGTCAAAAAATTTTGACATTTATTTTTTGACATTTGACATTTTTTTATATCTATTTAATGATACTGATGATCTTGTATGTGTTTTTTTACAATTATTTAGTAAAGGGACAAAAATTTTGCCAATAAAAGCCACAAATAACATTAAAGAGAGTTGCAATTTAGGATACAGCTTCCTTGTTTCCTCTTTTAATAGCCTATACCAAAAAAACTTGGAAAATAATTTTTTTAATAGAATTAAATAGAGTCATTTTTGGCATTTTTCTCTGGGGCGCTAGTTCTGGCGCACCCTGTATAGAGCTAAAATCCGTTTTTCGTGATTATTACAAAACTATGAGAGATACGTATAGCACATGTTGATATTGACATTTTATTTGAAAAAAACTGAGTTATAGCCGTTTTTTTAACGTTATTTTTTTTAAATCATACATATACTAACTTTCGAAGATTTTTACGGAACCTCTGTGCTTGTACCTAAATATCAAATATGCATTAGGAAAATATTGACATTGAATTTATTATTAAATTGAAATTATAAATTATCGTAACTAACATGAACTCGCCCCTTGTTTTGATAGAAAATAAACACAATTCGACACTTTGGGGGAACAGATCGACATTTCTGGCAATCTCACCCTAAAATACATTTCAGATAGCTTTAAAAATAGTGAGGGACGTGAAGAGAAGGTCACTGAATAAATAATAACGGCATATCACTATAAAATCTCAGCTTTAATAGACTCGAGAGAATTCCATCACTAGCATTATATTCGTTTTAAGCCAGTTTAGAGAAATAAATAAACCTCGAATTTGGATTTAACTCATCACATGCCACACTAATTGAAATAAAAAGCTCAAGATTTACTCTAGATATTATTTGGGGTTGTGGAAAAATAAAATTTGTTAGATTCTGATGTGTTTTTCTCTAATTTATTAAATGTCATGCCTCCCTTAATTTATTTTTCACGTGTGTTATTACAAAAGGGCAATATTAATACCGGTTTTTTCCCTTAATACGAATATAATGAACCGTCGCCTCCTGAAGGGTGAAATGTATCCGTAGATTTCCGAGCATGCGCCCGAATTTTGCTGTAAAATGCGCCACCGCTGAAAGCTCGCAGCTTATTCCTGACGATTTTACCCCGAAAATCGAAATCAATATAAGTCTTGAGATGTTGAGGTGTAGACGTTTGTCCGTTCAGCTCCCATATGTTTATTGACATTTAAATCGATTGACAGTGAGTTACATACACTACCAGATCCAGACATAAACACGGCGCCGAATGGAAAAAACACAAGATTTTTTTCTATTCCGTCAACATGTGAGTGTGTGAGGAAAATCGTAGGTTATCATGCACCTGCACTTTGAGAGGACCATCAATGCGAAAAGTGATTGTTCCATTCTTTCGCTCACATGGATGGGAAAAGTGCCTGATGAACTGCCAGAGGTAAGGGACTTTTTTTATTAAAAAAATGTTTGTTTCTCATTTAAATGTAAATTAGGTTTTTTTTTTGATAATTTAGAATATCAGTGTGTTACCCGGCGCATCCACCATATTCTAATAAATTCAAATTTATGATTCATGAGTTATTTATACTAACAAAATTGACGGTAAGTATACACCAGGTAAACATTTATTTACTATTATTTATTACAAATAAACATTAACTCTTTATTTATCAACTTGTTGAAACACTAATTTTATTTTGTTCCTTCATGTTTGAAATAAATTCCAAAAAGTTCACAAAACGTTAAAACAAAAGTGAACAGGTTTCAAGTACAAAGTTTTTTATATTAATGAAGTGTCTTAAGTGGGCTTTTGTGTTTTCTCTAGAAACGTCATTTAATTGTAACATAATGAACTTTTGTTTCAAAATGCTTGGTTTATTTCAAAACTTTTTTAATATCGATTTTTATATTTATAGAATATTTAATTTTAAGACAAGAGTTCCCTATAAACATGTTTCTAAAAATACTACATTTTTTAAAGAGTTTTTCCCAATATTTCAGAATAAATAAAATTATAAAATTTAGTACAGCTGATAAGCTTTATACACCTAAACAAATTCCAAGATAAAATGTCGAAATTTTGAATCGATTTGTAACATAAATTTTAAAACTGATTTAGAAAAAAAAAATTAGAGTTTTGTTGCTGAAAGTGGCAAGAAACTACGGCAGAAATAGTTAGAGTACTTTTTTGTCTTAAAATTGAATATTCTATCTCTTACTTAAATTTGTAACAATATAAACGGAACAGCCTGTATATTTGATGAAATAATAAAAATACCTTTTTGGAAATAGTTGTTTATTTTTATAAATAACAAATAAAATAAACTAGTAATATAAGGTGAGTTAAAAAGGAAACGCAAATATGCTTTTGAAATTATTTAATTATTACTTCTATGATTATTTATTATAATTTAGTACAGCTGATAAGCTTTATACACCTAAACAAATTTCAAGATAAAATGTGTTAATCAGGGGCGTCCCAAACGGTAAAACGAATTGAATTTTTAAATTTTATACTGTTTATGGTTTGTAACATAAATTTTAAAACTGATTTTACTAAAAATCAGTAAGTTGTATCGAAAAAACGCAAAAGATCTTTTTTTTTTGAAAAACTACGATATTTTGTTGCTGAAAGTGGCAAGAAACTACAGTGGAAATAGTTAGAGTTCTTTTTTGTCTTAAAATTGAATATTCCATCTCTTTCTTAAATTTGTAACAATATAAACGGAACACGCTGTATATTTGATGAAATAATAAAAATACTTTTTTGGAAATAGTTGTATATCTTTGTAAATAACAAATAAAATAAATAAATAATATAAGGTGAGTTAAAAAGGAAACGCAAATATGCTTTTGAAATTATTTAATTATTACTCCTATGTTTATTTATTATAAATTATTATCACCAATTTAGTACAGCTGATAAGCTTTATACACCTAAACAAATTCCAAGATAAAATGTCGAAATTTTTAATTAGGGGCGTTCTAAACGGTAAAACGAATTTAATTTTTAAATTTTATGCTCTTTATGGTTTCTAATATAAATTTTAAAACTGATTTTACTAAAAATCAGTAAATTGTATCGAAAAAACGCAAAAGATCTTTTTTTTTGAAAAACTACGAAATTTTGTTGCTGAAAGTGGCAAGAAACTACAGCCGAAATAGTTAAAGTACTTTTTTGTCTTAAAATTGAATATTCCATCTCTTTCTTAAATTTGTAACAATATAAACGGAACAGCCTGTATATTTAATAATAATAATATTAATAATAAGCCTTTATGTAAATAAAATTACAACTTATATTTGATGAAATAATAAAAATACTTTTTTGGAAATAGTTGTATATCTTTATGTTGTATATCCTATGATTATTTATTATAATTATTATGATTAATTATAATTCATTAGGGTATAACATTTTGGTTTGCAGTTTTAGGAGTAATTCAATGGTTAAAATTTCACATGAGTGATTGTGCGATTCTTTTGAATCATGCTGTATATAAATTTTGAATTTTTATTAGCATACAGAATGATTACAAGTATGACTAACATTGAAAACAAAATTAATCATTAATTGCTTATTTATAAGACTTAATAATTTGACTTATCATTTGGATATTTTTTGAAAATACAAACATCAACTTTGAGTAATTTAATTGTCAGGTTGTATGTGAATGATGTCTAAAGTCTAAAAATATAATTTTTGTATTTTGTGAATATTTTATTTAAACTTATATGTATCACCCTGAATTTAAAAAAGTATGTAAGATAGATGAATTCTTGTCATATACCTATTTTTGAACCAATTTTGTTAATCTCTGAAATTACAAGAGACATTAATTTTTTTTTGTATACGCTCCCGAAAACAGCTGTTTTATGGACTCATTTGATTAAATTAAATTACAATTGAAAATTGTGGCTGTATTTTTTTAATTAGATGTCTTTAGCTTTTTAGAAAAATGTAGTTGAATTTAATTAATGAATTAATAAACTAGTGTTGGTGTTTGCTGTTTTATGGGTCGTTAGTTCTCAAATTAGAGAAAAATCAACTAATGGATGTTTAGAGTTTTTTAGGTTAACGATAATTTCATTCACATAAAACTTATCATTTCGTCGGAGAGAAGAAAATAACCGAAATGAGGATAAAAAGAATGAAGTAAAAATTACATTGGCTTTAATATTTGATTGGTCAATAATTGATAATCGATAAAAATAAATTACAACTGTTTGAATAATTAAAGTTCAGTAAAACTTTTCTGAGAAATATGTTTTAAAAAAATAATTTTTAATTAATAATAATTGTTATTATTAATAAAGAAATATTGGCAAGAATGGAATTGCTAGTAGTACCGATACCGTAAAACAAACAAAGTTTATATCAAGTACAAGGAGTTACAAAATAATAAAGATTGTAAACTAGTAAATAATTAATTTCCCCATTATACGAATGAAAATTTGTTTAATGTTTTGTACCCACATAAACTCAGATAGCATAAAAAACATTTTTCAAATTAGAACTGACACATTATTTCAGTTTGTGATAAAGTTCAGTGCGGTGTTAATTAAATAAGCACGGAAAAATTTAGAAACCAGTTTTGATACCAATATTTTAGCGTAGTGAAAAATCAGTTTTCTATGTCTAAACGTTTATCTTCTATTTTATCATTTGTTGAAACTTAATCTAAAATAATTTAAAGCTTCTATTACTCGGCAATGTTTAAAATCTTCTACTTCAAAACTTTCAAAGAATCAAAATTCTCAATTTTGAAATCAATTTTTCTAAAGCGTTTAGTAGTATATTATTTTATTAGGAGTAAAAGTGACAAATTTTGTGGCGTTTTGCCAAACGTAGTGAGGCAAATAATTCAGCTGAGCCACATAAACTCATTTCTACTCCGAATAACATATACTATTTTATCCGCAAACGCATTCAGATCGAGAGTAAAGAATAACACTATAATTAGCAATAAATTAACATTACAATAATGCTTAAACATCACGCGTCAGTATCGGAATTTGTGTCGAAATTTTTGAAATTGTTCATTAATTTAACTATGCATGACTAGTGCAGTTAGTAGTGCTAAATGTGGAAAATAATAAAAAAAATTACTTTTACTTGTAACTTTTAGTCACTTGTGACGTTTGTGGATAAAATTTGTAATAAATTGATTAACGGACAGTTTTACATTAAAATTTGATATAAATATAAATTAAATCATTTCTTATAAAATTTGTTGTATTTTACGTTCAAATCTCTCGGTGATTATACTCGTAGTTGATCTAATTTTCTTTCTTTGCGAACCCGGCTTGATGGGGGTTCTAAAATAAGACAGGACGTGAATTTTCCACCCGTGTTCGCATTTTCACGCTGAAATATCGAATTTCATAGCAATTTCTTTAGTCATTAATGATTTGTTTTTCCATCGTCTACGGTTATTATTTTTCCACTTTGACAAGATGACACCTTGCCTCGCCAATGATTGAAGTGCTCGGACAATCTATTTATAAATTTTTATCTAGGTCGCAAGTACAAGTGAAATAATGTGATCATAAGGGTGATGAGTTTGTCGCACCCTCACCATATTTCATCGACTTATAATGGATCCGGATATGCATCCATTGTCACGCCTCGACCCGAATTATCAAAATTAAAAATGAAAAAATATGTAACAAAAGTTTTATGAAATTAATAAAGTAGGGTGCTTATAAAGGAGAGAAAAAGGAACGAAATGATTGATTCTTTGTTATGACGGGTGTAAATAAAATATGAGCCACCCTAATTCCCCCTATTAGGTCGGATTTAAACTAAGCGAGTAGATTTATTGTGTTGAAGAAAATTTATAGATCAAGGTGGTTCCTGTGACGTACAATTATTTTTCTCAAATTCTGTAATTTCAGATAATTGGTTTTCAAATCATCGATTTTTATGTGTTATTATTTGAAAGCGTTTCTCTCGTAAAAAACACATTAGAAGGAATATTTCTTGAAATGAAATCCTTTAAACGTTATGACTATTGATTTTTTCTAATCAAAAGCTTTACGATAACGCTGGCTATAAAATAGGTAAATATTCTTTGCGAAATGTTCAATAACAAAAACGTATGGTAAGTTTATGATTCAAATAAATTTTATTGTTGTATAACTAACGTAATTGTTTTTCTTCTCTTTTGTCTTAAAATCATTTGTTTTAATTTGCAACAACAAAAAAAACACCTGCATTAATTATTAACGCAATGGTATATTTTAACATTACGTTGTTTATTTTAAATTTATATACTGGCTTGTTATTATAATACTTGTTTGTTAAACTAACTAATTAAACATACAGGGTATCTCCAGCGAGTTGAAAATGTCTTAAATGGTAAAATTAAATAAAAATTATATAGGACATTGATAGATACTAATCTAGTCCATCGCCTAAAATTATTTTCAACTATACAGCGTGTCTCAAAAATAAGTTACAATACAAACTTGTGTTTTTTTAAATGAAACACCATATGTTTCTTAGCGTTTTTTAAATGTAGATTTTTATGACATTGTTTTTAAGTTAAACTTTTATTGGTCAATTTGGCTTCATTTTAAAAATAAGACGGTTTTTTTGACGAAAATATGCAATTTTTGAAAATTTATTACACAAAAACTAAAAGATCTAGAAATATTTTACTACCGCAAAGAAGAAGGTATAATGTATAAGGTTATAACATTTTTTAGTGTGTTGCATTTGCAAAGATAAAAAAATGAAGACGATTGTTAAAAGTTCAATAATTTAAAAAATTTAAATGGAACACCCTATTTATTGTTTTTGCATTAAAAAGATTATTAAATTGTCTTTCTAAAATTATTTACTTTTAGGTGTTTATAATCAATAACTAAAAAGATATTTAACGTTAAACATTAAAAAATAAGTACTATTGTTTCAGTTGCCAAAAAGTGCACAGTTGCACAAGAGATGGAAGAAATATCAGTTAATAATCATTTTTTTTTGATAAACAATTTACCAGTTTATAGATGTAAAAGTAAAAAATTGGGTGTTCCATTTAATTTTGTTTTTTGCAAAACACTAGAAAATTGCTACAGCTGTACTTTCTTCTTTGCAGAAGTAAGAAAAAATTTGTTCTAGCTATCTTAGTTTTTGTGTAATAAATTTTTTAAAAGTGCATCTATCAATGTCTAATACAATTTTTTGTAATTATACCATTCAAAGATCACTAATGGACTTTTTCAACTCGCTGTTTGTATACAAATTCATTTCTCTAAAATCAACAATAATAGAATTTTTTTACTGATGAATTTGAAACTGTTTGCAAACAATGAGAATCTTTCATTAACAAACCACACATCACCAACTGGTCATACATCTTTTGCACATCATTGAATTTAAATAATTGGACTAATACAAAATTTAGTCGTTTTTTAAAACTTTACTTAAAAATAGGAAAGGGGTCCAGCCTGCATAAATTTTCCCTCTGCAACTAAATAGACATATCGCAGGTTGTTTTGCTTTAGGGAGTTGAAGGTTCATTACGGATTAAAGACGATGTCAAACATTATTAGTGCCGCATAGGGGTGCGAATTCGCGAGGAGATATTTTCAGTGGTATTGGACCCCTATTTCAACTTTGAAGGTTTCACAGCTTTGGGATTAATCCCGAATCAAGGACATTAAAACTGCCACATCATGACATCGTAAAGATTCACTACAGAAAAAATGGTGTTTTTAACATGTTTTTTTCATATTAATAAAATAAACGACTTGGAAATTTATCAGAGCTTTAATCTTTGTATCGGAGACAAAACACCCCATAAACAAACTCGACAATTACACACTACCCACACTCGTACAAATTTCCTCCCAGTCCAAACCAATTACTAGACAAAAGAAGACGTTTCCTCCCTAATCCACTACCCTCTTATCTAGAGAATAAATTGATCGGTTATTTTTATCTAACCGTAGTTCGGGACGATTCGAGCACTTAATCAAGTCCAAACTCCCCCTTCTAAAGTTAGAAGTTAGTTTGCATTACAAACGCCTAAGTGCAGGTATTTGGGCTCTTTTATATGTGAAATTACATTATTCACAAGTCAGGAACGTAAACACATTACGCTATGCAGCGACAGAGGGTCGGAAAATCGATTTTTCGTACAGCGTACAAAATAGTGACTTACTCGACGAGCAGTCATTAAAGCGTCTTTTAAGAGGAAAGTGTAGAAAAATTGAGAAGAGTGCGTTCGCGTGACGTGAAACGTTTACTTTAACCCACAAATCTTCTAAAGAGGTTTTGAGGAAAGCATGTTTTAAGTCAATTGAGCGGAAATAAAAAAACACAAATTTTTTTGGAGCTAAAAGTCACCCATACAGAATGTATTTGCGATATAAAAATACAGGTTGACTCACGTAAGATGACAAACTTTTACATAGATTTATATATGAACATAGATTGTATTGTATGTTGCATTTTACTTTTGTAATGTTCGGTATCTTTGGTGAATCAGACTGTATTTGAAAAGTTATATAGTGGTTCCAAATGTAGACAATATTTTTTTCAAGTATACAAGAAATGAATAAAAATGTTTGTTTTAAACTAAACTGTCATGGGTGGGCTTTTTATATCTTATAAAATAATTTGTTTTTTTTTTAAACACACTGCTTGTGAAAATTGATAAAACAAACTGAGTCGGAAAAACAAAGTTGTTGGTACTTAAAAAAAAAGTGCAGACTTTTGAGCTATAGTATTGTTTAGCATAAAGCAACTTAAAAAAAATTTTGAAGAAAAATTGCATCTGATATTGTTAAGTTGTAACACAACAATTTACTTTACATATTTATAGTAGCTAAAATCTTTAATCTTTCAGCTGTATAATTATTGAAAATTAGTCTTTTTTAAAATAGATAACATTTTATTTTTTTAGTGTTTGTGTTTATTGTCTTTTAAAAACATAGATATTTGTCAAATGTCAGATATGTAAATAAATCAAATTGACTAAATGAATGAGACATTATAAACTATACTCAGGAATGTAAAAATGGTGTTTTATTAAAAAAAAGGGTAATTTATGTTGTAAGGCATTTCTATCAGCATACAGTTGTTAAAACAGTCGGAAATAATTCTTTCAAAAGATTTTTAAACTTAAAATAATATAAATTTGCATAAATAAATTATGCACTGTAATAGAGCCAAGTTTATTTTATTTCTGTTGTTGAAAAACAAGAAGTTTTATTGCTGTTTTCAGTCTTGAACCAGATACATTTTTAAATACATATTTTATTTCTTAGTAATCTAAAAAATGTTAAAAACTTATTGCTTTAGTTATTTTAAGTCAAATGTTCAATTTTTATTTGCCCTTAAGAGCATATAAGACAAATTTAAACACTTTTGAGGTAATGAGAGACTTAAATTTTCTGATTCGGTAATTAAAATTATGTATTATCCTTCTGTTATAACTTATTTCGTAATTAATTTTTTCTTTATTTTTTCAATACGAATACGAATTTTAAAACTTAATTAAAAATAAGTTATTTGTAACTTTAATTTAATAACGTATCGTTTGAAACAAAAAACCATTGTTAAGAATTTAATAAATTTTGATGGATGCGCCGGGCTAGAAATAAATATCAATGTTACAAGTTTTTCAAAATGGTAAGAAATATAATTTTTGTAATTATTGATTTGCTTAGTAAACACAAAGACTTTTTGCCCAATTTCTTTCTTATTGATGAATAATTAATAAAAAAATATATAAGCAAAAATATTTATTTCGCTTTTACATTGTTGTATGCAGATTGTTTTTTAATAAATGAAAACACATTAATTGCTAATTCTTAGAAATCTTCCTCTAAACATAAAAGACGTTAGAAAAAGTTAGTAATATTCTAGCAAAAATAATTCACGTTACAACTGATATAATTCAGAGCAAAAGCAGATTTATCTCAATGAAATATCACAAAAATTGCTTTTGAAACCGAATAATATGCCAAAAACTTCAATTAATTAATGAAATGAAATCAATACTCGCTATGAAACAAAATGGATATTCAATTTAAAGTTGAACCTTTGACATGATTTATTTTCCAAATGAAATATTTTTTTTAATTAAAAAAATTGTTATTGTTAATTTTTGGAATTTTTGTGTCAACTCTCATAAAACGTTATAGCATCCATCGACGAACTTTCCCAAGTTTTGCTTTTATTCCGAATCAGGCCACAGTTTTGGTTTAACGTCCCACTTGTGAATATGAAAGAGTTTCTATCTAGGCCAAAGTTAGCAGAAAGTGAGATGGAGAATTTTCATTTCGTTTTATTAGAAAACGTGTCGGAAATCGCACCAGACTTACACTTTAATAAATCGTCAAGAGTCCTCTTAGAACTGAAAAAAACTAACAGTTTGATGTGGAAATTGTCCAATTTGAGATTAATTATTGCAAGGTCCTCATTTAGCGGAAATTACAAATCAACATGGTCCACTCCCACCAAATTACTCAACGAAATTGAAATTGACAGTTCCAATCAGGAAATAACAAATTACCATCGACAAGATTAGAAAAATCAAACTTCCTTTAGAATTCATTCATCGATTTTTGTTGTTTCAGGACGAAGGATGGAAACTGAACAGGACAAATTACTATCAAGAAGGCTGGCTTGCTACAGGCAACGTTAGGGGTATCGTTGGGGTGACTTTTACAACGTCGCATTGCAAGAAAAACGTTGAATTTCCGCTGAGGACGAACTATAATCTAAGGGGACATCGATCTGAGGTAAAAATAGAGTTTTAAAGTGCGTTTGACCGAAAGCTCATTGATTTTAACTCTCATTCAATCAACAAGTGTTCTTTTGAAAACAAAAGAAAGCGAAATTAGAAAGCAAAAATTTTATTTGGCTTATAATTTCTCGAAAAAAACGGCAAGACTGCATTAATTCAAACAGCGTTCACTTTCTTAGTTAAATTTAAAATTATTCAATACGACAAGCGTCTCTAGAATTTTTCACTCTTACATTTCACACTGATTTTGCAAATAGCCACTTTACAATTTTAGAAAAAGTACAACTAGTTTTGGAACAAAAAAAAATTAAACGTTCTTAGAGCGTGTTTCAAAAATAATATTTTTCTACAATCATGACAAAAAATTAATTTTTTACATTGAAATTCATACGCGATATTGATCATTTGTTGTTAAGTGCACAAGACAATATTTTTTTTAATAAAAAATTGGAAGTGCCAAAAATCGATTAAAATTTTGCCAAGAATCGAGAAAATTAAAAATTTTAAAATTTCTCCAAATGCACACATAGGAGTGCAAAACACCCAGAAATAAAGTTTTGAAAAATGTTGTGTATGTATGAATATATTGGATTTGAGCAGAGAAACTGTCGGCCAGTGTGGTGGTGTCAGCATTTTTTTTCTAATTCACAATACAATTCAGATAAATGTCAAAAGAGCGCGAAATTTAAACATGTGCACAACTAATAACAATTTTTTTAATTAAAAAAAAATTTCATTTGTAAAGTAAATCATGTCAAATGTTCAACTTTAAATTGAATATCCATTTTGCTTCATAGCGAGTATTGATTTTATTTAATTAGTTGAAGTTTTTGGCATATTATTCGTTTACCAAAAGCAATTTTTGTGATATTTCATTGAGATAAATATGCCTTTGCTCTGAATTATATCAATTGTTTTTTGCCAGAATATTACTCATTTTTTCTAACATCTTTTATTTTAAGGGGCAGATTTCTAAGAAATAGCAATTAATGTGTTTTCATTTATTAAAAAAACAATCTGCATACAACAATACAGCGAAATAAATATTTTTGCTTATACATTTTTTTATTAATTATTTATCAACAAGAAAGAAATTGGCCAAAAAGTCTTTGTATTCATTAAGTAAATCAATAATAACAAAAATAATATTTTCTATCATTTTAAAATCGTTCACTTTTAGACGACTTGTAACATTGATATTTATTTCTAGCCCGGCGCATCCACCAAAATTTATTAAATTCTTAACAAAGGTTTTTTGTTTCAAACGATACGTTATTAAATTAAAGTTACGCATAACTTATTTTTAATTAAGTTTTAAAATTCGTTATCGACGTATTAAAAAATAAAAAAAAAATTAATTACGAAATAATAAATTTTAACTACCGAATCAGAAAATTTAAGTCTCTCATTACCTCAAAAGTGTTTAAATTTGTCTTATACATAGGCTCTTAAGGGCGAATAAAAATTGAAAATTTGACTTAAAATAACTAAAGCAATCAATATGTTTTTAACACATTTTAGATCCCTAAGAAGGAAAATATGTATTTAAAAATGTATCTGGTTTAAGACTGAAAACAGCAACAGAACTTCTTGTTTTTTAACAACAGAAATAAAATAAACTTTGTCTTATTATAGTGCAAAATTCCCGCTTTGCAGCAGATAGGTACGGGTTCGAGCCCCGGTAAAGTCAGCAATTTTTTTCTAATTCAAATTCAAATACAATTCAGATAAATGTCAAACGATTGTGGGCGCTTAAGAGCGCGAAATTTAAACATGTACACATGTTCTAATAAATATAATAAGAGAAAGAGAGAACGCATAAGAGCAAATAAGAGAAAGAGAGCATTGACTTCGCGCCTCATCAGGTTTCGCCTTAGAATGAAGCATTACTCACCTTGGTATGTAATCTACAACCGTATATGTAATGTTGACATTTCTAACCTTGAAGAAAGTGTCTATTACCTACTTCTATGGCATATTAAAGTCTTATTTTAAGGGCTAGGGTTGTTTTAGTAATATAATTTTTATAAAATATTTTTTTGATAACATACGAACTACGATACGACATACGTCAACAACTAGTACCCTACTTGATTTTTTAAACGGAAAAAAAACCAAAAATTTTATGAAAATTCTGCAAATATGTCAAGATTTATTGGTGAAAAAAGCCTATGAATACTTTGTAATTTTTGGGAATGCAGTACTACCAATTCACATTCGCGCACGATTTATTTTAGACTTTTTTTTGTAAAAATTACAAATTGACACACCTCACTTCACTTATTTTATTATTATTATTTGACCCGGCAAAAGAAGAAGAAACCATTTGCCAGATAATTATTTTCATTTTCTGACAAATAATTTC